AGACCTGTGATTATATGTTACTCTATCCATATACACACTAGTGTAGCAGTTAATATGTTAAGATAGAGACCTATGATTATATATTACTCTATCCATATGCACGGCAATGTAGCAGTAAATCTGTTCAGATCGAGACCTGCTATTATATATGTTACTTTATCCATATACAAGCCTCTGTAGCAAGCCTCTGTAGCAGTAAATATGTTCAGGCAGAGACCTGTTTCTAAGCGTTTCTATATCCATATAAAAACTGATATAGCAAACACTTTGTTCAGATAGAAACCTGTTTCAATTATCCATATACAAAGCAATGTCTGTTTAGACAGACACATGTTACTATGAGCTACTATATCCATATTCGCACCAAGGTAACAGTAAATCTGTTTAAATAGAGTCCTGTTACTACATTACTATTCAATCCAATATAGCAGTAAATAGGTCCAAATAATGACCTGTTATCATATGTCACTATATCCATATACAAACCAATGTAGCAGTAAATCGGTCCAGATAAAGACCTGTTATTATATGTTACAATATCCATATACAAACTAGTGTAGCAGTAAATTTGACCAAATAAAGACCTGTTATTATATGTTAAAATATTCATATATAAACCAGTGTAGCAGTAAATCGGTCCAGATAACGACCTGATTTTATCTGATGTTATATGTTACTATTTCCATATTACAAACCAGTGTACAGTAAATCTGTTCAAATAGAGATCTGATACTATACTCATATGTAAACAGATCTAGAAGTGTTTCTGTTCTAATTGAGGCCCTTTTATTATGTCATATGTCGGAAATCAAATACGTCAAAGACATGTGCATTCAGCAACATACACAAATACATTTTCTTCTCTTAGACCATGTATTATGAGTTGCCCTCAAGTTATTTTAGCTAATTATAACCAACATATATACGACAGCCGCCAGATTTCAACCCAAACCCGGCGACCCAGCGAATAACCAGTTCTACTGCGTAAAGCCCTATAGCTTAGTAACCTGTTTATTCTTGGGTATCTTATTTAGTAGGCCTTGCATAGAAGCACGTGTAAAATCAATCATCTATTCATCTATAACCCTACATTCAATGACGGTGGCCAATACCTGAATCAATCATCTGTTTATTAAAACATTATATAACAAACCATTATATAACTAATCGTGTACCCGGTATCGCCATTGAATGGCCCCCGAAGCAATCTCAACCGACACAACCAGTGTGCTAGCTTATTTAATATGTTTAGTTCAGATGAACACTCTTCAGTGATGGTGGCCAATACCTAATCAATCATCTATATATTGAATCATTATATAACTAATCATGTACCCAGTATCGCTATTATACGGCTCCCGAAGCAATCTCAACCGACACAACCAGTGTGCTAGCTTATTAAACACGTTAAGTTCAGATGAACACTCTTCAGTGATGGTGGCCAATACCTAATCAAGGATCTATTTATTGAATCATTATATAACTAATCATGTACCCGGTATCGCTATTATACGGCTCCCGAAGCAATCTCAACCGACACAACCAGTGTGCTAGCTTATTTAATACGCTAAGTTCAGATGAACGCTCCTCAGTGATGGTGGCCAATACTCAGTAGCGGCGGCAGACATATGCCCAAGCATATCAACATCAGCTGTCTACGCGATAGTTCTCCACCTGAGTCAAGCATCAAAGGAAAAAGTACCACATACCCGTAGATGTATGCACATGATCAGTATAAACAACTTACTGTATACCAATACACGCAAACATATTCACACTAGCGGTAGACCAGACAGTCCCCTGCTTGATTAAAGTATCAAAGGAGGAAGCTATATGTATGCAGAACAACATACTTACTGCGCACAGATGCACACAAACATATCAACACCAGCGGCTGACGAGATAGTTCCGTATCTGATCAAAGGAGGAAAGTTACCAGGGGCATGTTCCTGAGGGTGCTCACAAATTTACGGCTCGAATATACTTATATACATACACTTGCACGTAGTTTGGTATATAAAGATGCACTTATATACATGCATGTGATGTATATTTTCACATTATTTACGGCTCGAATACACTTATACACATACACTTGCAGGTAGTTTGATATAAAAAGATGCACTTATATACATGCATGTGATGTATATTTTCAAGTTATTTACGGTTCGAATACACTTATACACATACACTTGCTGGTAGTTTGATATATAAAGATGCACTTATATACATGCATGTGATGGGTATTTTCAAATTATTTACGGCTCGAATACACTTATACACATACACTTGCAGGTAGTTTGATATAAAAAGATGCACTTATATACATGCATGTGATGTATATTTTCAAGTTATTTACGGTTCGAATACACTTATACACATACACTTGCTGGTAGTTTGATATATAAGGATGCACTTACATCCATGCATGTGATGTGTATTTTCAAATTATACCTGCACGTATTCATATACCACATATCAGTACGGATGCACCTGATCAGCAGGGAAAACGTACTTACTAGGGTTTAGGGTTTTAGGGATCAAACATACTTACTACGCACATATACACACGCACTTGATGAATGTGGCTGGGATGCTCAGGTGTAGCTGCATATAGACACTCGATTAATCATGAGCCAATACATGTCATGATATGTGCAGACTCGGACCCTAACCCTACATCCGCAATACACTTGGCTAGCCAATGTACCGGTGTTTGCATGTGCGGGTTTGTATGTGTGTATGTGTGTGTGTGAGGTGTCTACGTACCTAGTGTAGCCAGCAATTCTGTGAACATGCGTATATGCAGTATTCACGGGCCATATGGAAAGGGAGCGAACATATTTTAGCTGTTCATATCATGTATAAGCGTGTTTCATCCCAATTGCGTGTGTTATATATTTGAGGTATTTACCTACCATTTACCTTCCATGTTTGTATGCCAGTTCTGTTATATATATGAGGTATTTATCTGCCATCTACCTACCATGTCTAAATGTCAGTTGTGTTATATATATGAGGTATTTATATACCATTTACCTACTATGTCTAAATATCAGTTGTGCTATATATTTGAGGTATTTAACTACCATTTACCTACCATGTTTAAATGTCAGTTCTGTTATATATATGAGATATTAACCTACCATTTACCTATCATGTTTAAATGTTAGTTCTGTTATATATACGAGGTATCTACCTACCATTAACCTACCATGTTTAAATGTCCGTTCTGTTATATATACGAGGTATTTACCTACCATGTTTAAATGTTAGTTCTGTTGTATATACGACGTATTTACCTACCATTAACCTACCATGTTTAAATGTCAGTTCTGTTATATATATGAGGTATTTACCTACCATGTTTAATTGTTAGTTCTGTTATATATACGAGGTATTTACCTACCATTA